CACTTCAAGTACTCTATCTGAAAGCATAGAGTCTAAATATTCAACTGCCAAACCACAATGCCTCTGAACCTCTGGACCAGAAGAAAGCCTGTTCACAATGAAAATAAGGATATTCCCCTTGATGAGAAAATGTTTCTCAAAGAAGAGTAGTCCAACCACAATGAGAACTACACCAAAACCAGTACATCCATGCCCAATCTTCTTCACATCAAGTGACTTAAAGGAAACTGTGACACCCCGCAAATCTAAATTCTATTTAGGGATTAACTAAGTAATTAATCCTAATCTAATTGGTGATTTATTTTTTAAATTCCTGAAAATTCAATAGTCGGGGACTAGTAATTGACTAGTCAACCCAAGTCAAGGTGTTGTACCTAAAGCTTTGTGAATAGTTCCCTTGTTCCCTTACACTTTTTCATCTTAGTAAGGGTAAAGATGACTTTACACCTCATGTTTGTATCCAAGCTAACCTAAGGTTATTTCTCATTCTTCTCCTAACACACTCAAAACATAAAACTCTTCCTTCTCTCTAGAATTTAGCTAGCTTTCCCTCCAAGCTAAGTTTGAGCTTTCCAAGATCTTCAAAGTTTGTCTCCAAGATTCCACATTTCCTACCTTTGAGCATCTAGGAGGGTAAGCTCTATGTTCCTTTTGTGTTTTTAGTGCTTTCTAAGGTATCTTTTTCTAAAGATGAGATCTTTATGGTCTTTTGGTGTGTTCTTGAAGTGGGTGTTGAAGGTGAACCTTGTTAGGAGCTTTGAGAAGTGCTATAAGTGAAGGTTTAGTCTTCAAGAGGTAACCCATGCTTTACAAAATCTATTTCCATTACCTATATGATGATTTATTGGATTCTACATGAGATTTTGCTATGAAATGTGAGTGTTGATGCATTGTCTTGTGAAAATGCATATCTAGAGTTTGTTATTAGGGTTATTGTATGCCATTGCTTGGCTATTCCTTTGATTCAAGTCATTTTGTTGTATTTGGTGAGATTTTGGATGTTTTGGACTTGAATTTGAGCTTGGTGTTGAAAATCCCCGAAGGGATATTTTGGTACAGGGTGTTGTACCCGCGGGCGGAACGGCGGGTAGGGGTCCACCCGCCGCCCCACCCACGGGGTACAGGTTGTGTGGAACAAGGTTCCCGCGGGCGGAACCACGGGTGGGGGTTCACCCGTGCCCCCACCCGCGGGTACGTATATTGTGGTTGTTTGGGGATTTGTTCCTCGTGATTCTTTTGACTCGGTAATTAATGTTTTGACTTCCCGATGTTCTTTTGTTGGGCTTTTGAGTGTTTTCTTGGTGTTTTGTATGTCTAAAACTATATGGTAGGATTCCGTGTAGGTTTTGGTGTCTTGAATCGTGCCAAGTGTTCAACCTTGTGATTCGTTGAACCATGGTGAGTCTTGGGTGTTCTTCGGAACTATGTTTAGTTTACCCGTTTGATAAGCATGCTAGTTCGGTGTTTAAATACTAGCGTGTGTGGTTTGTTCTTTCCTATTGTGGATGGTGACTTGTGTTGATCATCGTTGTTGTTGGATTGTGATCATTTCCTTGTTGAGTATGGTTTCATATCTTCGTTGTGATCCGTTGATTGATTCCTATGATGGTGTTGTGTGTGTGGCTGTACCTGGATTGCACGATTATTGGAATGGGACATTAGTCACCAAGGTACGGCAGTGGTCCTCGTGGTGGCCATGACGTGATTATGGAGTTTGTGACATGTGTGATGGGTTCACGTTTTCTTGGAAGGCATGTGTTGCCAAAGTGTGTGATCGGTACCCTTGTGTACTATGAATTGGTAGAATCGTTGGTGGTCGTTGGTGGGGGACGACGGTCTCAGGAGGAAAAAGGTTGGACTCAGAAGTACAGGGGTCCTGGAGGTAATGGTTGGAACTAGATATAAGGTTGGGGGTAGCCATAAGGTTGGAACCGGGCATAAGGAAGGATTATTGATTCGTGATGTGTGATGTCACGAAGGCATATGTTGCCGTTGTTGTGTTTCTCTATTCGTGACGAGTGATGTCACGAGGGCATGTGTTGCCAATGGGTGTCTCTTATTCTCTTGTGTTGAGTATGTCGGGTGATATTCTACTGAGTGATGGTAGAATACGCCTTGAGCCTTACTTGTGTTGTCGTTGTTACGTCTTGATGTCTTGGGATGTGTTCCCTTATTCTTGTTGTGAGTGATATAGAGTCTTGTGGTTGACTTCTATCTTTGGCTTTGAACTTATATATACAGTATTCCGTTTCGAAAATGATTTTGTATATACTATCTATGTATAATACTTAACATGTATTGGTGAGTTACCAGCATCATTCGTTGACCGGGCGTCGTCCCATTTATTTATATGCTTTTCAGGTCCCGAGTAGTGGCGAGCGCGATCTAGTGATGGATAGTGTAGTTCCCTCAGACTTTGTTAGCTTTGTTATGGGCCTGTGTGCCTTTTATGATGAACATTAGATTGTTGTTGGTTTGACCTTGTCCCTTGTTAGACTGATGATGTTGATGTTGTTTTCGCCTGTGCGTTCATCTTAGTGTGGACGTGGCATAACACTCTTCGTTTTTCAGTTCTATGTAGTTAGACTTCCGCTATGTTTGCTTATATTGTGGTTAGATCATCTTGCATATCTAAGTTTAAAATGGCATGGAAAACGGGGGTGTTACAGAAACCATCTTTTCTACTATAACTTGAAACTTCGAGGAATGAATCTCTGAAGCACCTGTATAAGTAGTGAAACAGAATAGCAGACCAGAACATTCATGGGCAAGCTTCTCGTTAGTCAAGTGCAAACTCCATGGCATACAATGCATCTCCCTTCTCAGCATCATCAGACTCCACTGGACGAATATCAACTCCTAGGCTAGTTCCCTTCAATATCCGTACTTACTTTGATTCATTTGAAGCATCTAACAACAATTCAATGTTCTCTATTTGCACAACAGTATTAGCACCATCAGGTATTGGTCCTCCAGTTGTTACATATACAACAGTTCCAGGAGCCACAATGACACCAAGTCCATCACTTCCTGCTCTTGACTCAGTGATTATAGGATACACACCTGATCTATCAGAAGAAACAACTGCATATCCATCCTTGATAGATATATTCAGAACTGAACCATGAAGCCAACTTCCTCTAGGCTTGGACTTGTCAGTGGTATCCAGAATGCACTTAGGGGCTTCCCGAAATCGAATTGAATGCTCATTCAAAACGAACTTAAAATCGTTTAAAACTTTCAATAAATTCTAAGCTGTTACCTCCCACATCTCCTGCGGTTCCACTCCCGGCGCCGTCTCCTCACCGACGGCGACATTGGCTCGAAGGCGACGGCGAGACAGAGAAATGGCGTCATTGAGCTCTGTCTCCAGCAAGGCCGCTTCCTCCGCTCCAACTCCGGCGATGCTCTTCCCCGTTTTATCACGGTCGGCCTTACAAATATCTCTCTGAACGAATTTCCGATCGAGAGACACAACCGCTGTGGCTGAACCGGAGGACTGCTCCATCTTCTTCAGATTGAGAATCTTATTTTGTAGATCTGAGATTCGGTGTGGATTACGAACTCCTTCCTTCCACTGCGGAGTGGCTGTGGAGGTCACCTGAACTGAAGATTGTGTGATCGGAATCAACGGACATCCTTGGATCGCCTTCCGCTGCAGATCGGCTACGGACGTCTGCTGCTCTGAACTCAGATTCCTCTGCGGAATCGTTGCTGATGCTGATCGGACTGGTGATCGAGCGTTGGCTTTGTTGCTACTCTGCGTAGCAATAATCCTCTGCGGATTGATTAGCGATGCGCAAACAAGAGATTGATCAATCGACGTCGTCGAATGAGCCGTTCTTTGAATCGGTTCTCCGGCGCCGATAACAGCGACGGCGTGGCTGCCTCGCCGCTCTGATACCAAGTTGGAGAAGGACTACATGAGTGAATGAGAGAAGAGAAAGCAAATTGAAGAAGAAGAAGATGGTATTATTCCAGTTCTACTGCTCATGGCTTTTACACACTGGTTTATATCCAGAAGGTGAATAGGTGAATACATGGACCGGTATAACAACCACTAATATGTAGATTACACTAATGCCCTTCATGTCAGCAATCTAATTTAAGCTATGTTATGCAAGCTATGTTTTCTTCTCCTTGTCACGTGTGCTGCATCCCTTCATCAGTCTCTTCCGGTGTACTAGAACCCGCCGGCGTGAGTTTCACATTGCCTAATGACTCCCTCTTTGGACTGTGATGAATCAAAATGGCGTCGTGGAGTTTGGACGTTGTTGGGGTTGGTGAATGGTGACCGCGGGTCATCCATTCTCTCCGATGGTCCACTTTTTTTTTCCGGCTATTTTGTTGCTCTCTAATTCATGTTGTTGGGAGGCAAGGAGGACGGTGATTTCATACTTTTCCGGTGGTGTTTGTTCTGTTGGAGGTTTGAACGTGATATCTGGAATGCTGACTGCTCTTGGTTTATTCTAGGTTTTCTTAAAGTTTCTGTTCATGTTCATGATGGTTGTTTATTTTAAATTTTTCTATCCTTGCTTTTTGGTGCTCAAAACTTGGTTTGTGTGGGCTCCGATGAAGTTTCTGTTTGATCGAAGCAGTTTAAGTGTTTTTTTTTTCTGACGGAAACTGGGTCGCTGATCATTAGGACTGAAGCAAATTAGAAATTTCGTAGGTTGTGGAACTGATTTTTACACGCGGGAAGGGAAATAAATGAAGCTAATAAAAAATGCCACCTAATAGGCCACATCAGCGAGCAACCGGGAAAAAGGGCTGACCACAGGCTACTAGATGAAATTGGAGGCATTTGGGCAGTTGAATGGACTAATTACACTTTTTTTTTTTTAGGCTGAGTAGTCTGATTGCACTATCGCGTTACGTTCAGTGGCTAATTTGACTCTTATTCAAAAAAAAGAAAAAGAAAAAGTATTTGTTAATCAAATTATGTCGAATTAAATTATTAATTAATAATTAGTTTTTACTCCGTAATATTTAGTAGAGAGAGAGAGAGGGTGGGAGTCTTCCAATCACGGAAAACCAGTTGTGCGCTGTTTGTTTGTGTTAAGAGTTCAAAATTCTTCTTTGGATCTTCGCCATTTGGGAATTCCTCACGACGATCGTGTGATATTTTCCGTCGCTAAACACGACACGTCTTCCGCCGGCGAAGATTTCTACGATCTGCAAGTATTTTCCTGATCAGTGTACTATTTGATTAATTTTGAATTTTCTAAGTGTCGATTAATCTATACTTGGATTACATAGCATTTAGTTTCTTCGTTTTAGTCTGATTTTTCAATGGATGGAACTCTGAAAGCTCTTGTATGTTCTTCCGAAATACAGAAGGTTATCGTAATAGAATGCTGAAATTTTGCTCTTAAATTTCCGTCGGTAACTTGTTAAATTATTAGGTAATGTAACTGAGTAATGATTCCGATTGAAATTACTTTCTGTTGAAGATCTAATAGATATGTTGCTAAATTCGGATCTAAGGTCTAGTCCTCCGTGTTCTGATAACAGCAGTTAATGCAATGATGAATATTCTTCATTTCCATCATTTTTAGAAGCTATTCAGTATGTTGGATAATGTAGTTCCAAAATTGCATTACCAATTTACCCTCCTTAATTTGTGCTTGGAAATGCTTATTACTAATCTGTGCCTTTGGCTTTTTTTATGGGAATACGTCTAATGTACAGTGCAGATATACACCTACTCACATACAGTACAAGTTCCTGTTGTCTGGTTTCTTTTGAGTTCTGGGATTAACATGATTGTTTGTCATGTTTGAAACCAAAGTTATTCAATGCCAAAAAGCATGGTCATACTTGCAGCTTTAGCATCTATTAAGAGTAAAACTGTTAATAGGAACACCTATAAGGAATTAGACCTTATTATTTCCTATCTTTTGAGTTTTGACTTTGATAGTCCATTTAGTTGGTATGACTTGTGTTCTTCCTCTTTTTCTGTCTTTTAATAGCCATTATGATGATGTCTTTTAATAGCCATTATGATGATTTCTACAGGAACCTTTCATCATTGCAAATTGATTTGGTGATTGAAGTAATTAAAGGAATCAAGCCTGTTTGATAAGCCTTTTTCAAGCTTCTAATATACTTGTTTCAATGAGCTTTGCACATATATGTGAAACATAGGGAGGAAACCTCTTATGAAGCATCAATTTGCATATATTTAATTCTGCAAATATGGTGCTCAACAAAATTGCAGAAACTGTTTCTGCTTTTGTGCCTCGTTTCTCAACCCCAAAGACCACAACCACTCCTTATGTATCATCAGGTTTGCCGCCATTGCCAGGTTCAATTCATGGTTATAACATTCCCAGTGTAGGACAGAAGAATATGTTGCGACTCTCCACATCACTTCAAGATTTTTCTGTATATCGCAAGCATGATGTAGAACATGGTGATCTCAATCCTGAAATGGAGAGAATTTTGGCTAATTCACATCAGGGTACCTTTTTCCTTAGAGAGATTGATGGATCAATTTTTTCCAAGGAGAGGGGATCTCCAAAACAGCCTTCTGGATGGAAGAAATGGTTGATAGTTCTACTGGTTCTCTTTTTGCTGGTGATTGCTTCTGTTTTGTGTATTTCATTGTCTTATTACTTTAAGTTATCTGAAGGTGCAACCAGGTTTTATGTTGTGCTTGATTGTGGTAGCACTGGGACTCGTGTTTATGTATATCAAGCATCCATTAACCACAATACAGATAGCAGTCTACCGGTTTTATTGAGATCAATGCCAGAAGGTTTTCAGAGAAAATCAAAATCTCAAAGTGGAAGGGCTTATAACCGAATGGAAACAGAACCTGGTCTTGACAAGTTGGTGCACAACGTGTCTGGCTTGAGAGGGGCAATCGGGCCGCTAATTCACTGGGCAGAGAATCAAATCCCTAGGCATGCCCATAAGGCTACCTCCCTTTTTCTTTATGCTACAGCTGGGGTTCGCAGGCTACCAAGTTCGGACTCCAAATGGCTGCTTGACAATGCTTGGTCTCTTTTAAGAGGATCACCTTTCTTGTGCAAGAGAGAGTGGGTGAAAATCATTAGCGGAGAAGATGAAGCTTATTTTGGATGGATAGCTTTAAATTATGACGCTGGTGTATTGGGGACTAGACCTAAAAAGGAAACATTTGGTGCACTTGACTTGGGTGGCTCATCACTGCAAGTTACTTTTGAGAGTAAAGAAAGTTTCAATGATGCAACTGGGTTAAAGCTGAGCATTAGCCCTGTCAACCATCAGCTCACTGGCTATTCCTTGCCAGGATATGGCCTAAATGATGCCTTTGACAAGTCTGTAGCTTACCTTTTCAAAAAGCTTTCTAAGGTTAATGATGCTGATTTGGCTAGTGGAAATGTTGAGATCAAGCATCCCTGTTTGCAGTTTGGTTACAAGGAGCAATATGTATGTTTTAATTGTGTTCCACAATCTCCAATAAGTGAGAATCCTCCCAGTGTAAGAGGAGAATTTAGTAAAGGAGGAAAGCACGGCATTCCCATTCAGCTCGTTGGAACTCCAGAATGGGATGAATGCAGTTCACTTGCAAAAATTGTTGTCAATTCATCTGGATGGTTGAACCAAAAACCAAGAGTTGATTGTGAAGTGCAGCCATGTAGTCTTGAAGGAAGTCATCCCCATCCTACTGGACAATTCTATGCTATGTCTGGTTTCTATGTTGTGTATCGATTTTTTAACTTGGCTTCTGATGCCAACCTAGATGTTGTGTTACAGAAGGGTCAAGAATTTTGCAAGAAGTCTTGGGATGTTGCAAAGAGAAGTGTTGCGCCCCAACCTTTTATAGAACAATACTGCTTCAGGGCACCATATATTGCATATCTATTGAGAGAGGGGTTGCATATTAGTGATAGTAATGTAATTATTGATTCTGGAAGAACCACTTGGACACTTGGAGTTGCTCTCTTGGAAGCTGGAAAGGCAGTTTCAACTCAGATTGAATTTCAGGATTACCAGATATTCCAGATGAAGATTAAAGCAGTTCTTCCATTGATTGCTTTACTTGCTTCTTTGTTTCTTCTTCTTTGTGCATTATTATGCATTGGTAACTGGATCCCTAAGTTCTTCCGGAAGACGTATCTTCCCCTTTTCAGGCATAATAATTCCTCAACCACCTCTATTATGCAAAATCCTTTCAAGTTCCAGCATTGGAGTCCAATCAGTACAGGTAATTTCTTCTAAATGACCTCTGATTGCGCTTCTTTTCTTGAAAATTATGGAAGTGTTATGCTTTACTTTTACCATTCAAAGAATGTTAGGGGAAAACACTGTGCAATGCACATTTTGATACTTGAATGCTTGGTGGGTTTCACAAAAGAGCCAGTTTTGCTATTATTCCTTAGTGTGGCATCAAATTATCAATTCAGCTGGATATGCTAGTTCTTGACCAAGAATCTGTATTCTGTAGTATCTAATATTTCAATCTTGTGATTCTATTCATTCAGGACCTCGATGCTAATGCATATTTCTTAGCATTCATCCTCATTTTGCTTTTCAAATTTACCCATTTTGTGTCCAGGGGATGGAAGCGAGAAAGTGCCACTCAGTCCAACAACCGCGGCTACCCAACGAAGAGCATTTGACACTGGATATGGTTTTGGGGGCCATGGTGTGCAGCTCAGCGAATCTTCCCTGTACCTGTCATCTAGCGGTGTAACACATAGTTATTCATCTGGCAATTTGGAGCAAATGCAATTTGATAGAAATACAATGGGTTCCTTCCGACCCCCACATAGAAGCCAACAACGACTTCAAAGCAGGAGATCACAATCTCGAGAGGACCTTCACAGCTCATTGGCCGAGGCAAATGCGGTAAAGGTCTAACACCCATCACTATCTGTCTTTTTGGCTTAAAACAAAATGCAGTTCAAAATTTTGGTTAACCATTGCCCCGAAGATATATTTGCGCTCCATGTTGCATTCTCTTGGATGTTACATGGGAATTACTCTAATTCCATACATATCGAGAAATTATAGAGTCGCTCTCCTCAAGGAGGGAGAAAGCATAGCCAGCTAACTTAGCATAGAATACTCAATTGCTTTGGTGGCCGTGCCAAATAGTGGGAATGTGAAAAGGATTTGAACTATGTGAATAGTTTGTATAGCAGATGTTACTGTGAGTCTCTGACTTATTACTTGAGGTTAGTTGTATCACAGAAGTAGGTGGGAGACACGACACTTGGGGAGTTGGGGTCCCATGGGCGGTTTGCAAAGGGAATGTGGGGGTGACTTTGTAGATGTTGTTTCATCATCAATGAATATAGATCAAAATTTTTGGCTACTCACTGCATTCTTATTGCCCGTTAAATTGTTATAGATGACGATAGTTCCTTGATACATTAAGCTTTATTTTTGTTTTCACCAATGCATATCTGTTTGGTCTATTTGTTGAAACTGCTTACATTAAAGTGTCGGGCATTTTGTACTAACTTATGGTACTGAGTGGAGCATAAGTTGCAAGAATTAAAGGTTGAGCTAAAAATCAATGTTAGACTTAAAATTGAAATTAATTCCATTCTTAGATTTATAGGTGACAATTCATAAATCTTTTTTATTAGAACATTTACTTTTGGTTCTAATATTATTAGATTATTAGATGGCAAATTATGTTGTGCATCCATGTGCACCATGCATGGTGCACACGGAATGGTGCACACGGATGTAAAAACGACGTCGTTTTCACTAAAAACGTGCGTTCAACTTAAAAAAAAAAAAATTCAATTTCGATTCCCGTCAACAACATTATGTTGTGCATAATTTTTGAATATATAATTATGCAATTTTGGATTTATAGTTATGAAATTATGGATGTGTAGTTATGTAATTTTGAATGTATAGTTATGAAGTTATGCAATTCTGGATTTATAGTTATGAAGTTATGGATGTGTAGTTATGCAATTGTGGATGTATAATAATGAAGTTATGGATGTGTAGTTATGTAATTCTGAATGTATAGTTATGCAATTCTGGATGTATAGTTATGAAATTATGGATGTGTAGTTATGCAATTCTGATTTTTTTTTTTTTAAGTTGACGTCAAAACAACGTCGTTTTTGCAGATGCACAGCATAACGACTCTTATTAGATCATGCCACAATAATAAATATTAAAACTAAATGAGAATGTTCTAATGAAAAATGACTAAAAGTAGATTGCCAAATGTAAATTTAGAATAAAAAATGAAATTAACTCTTAAAATTGCTTTGAGATATTCACTTTGCCCTTGCCCAATAAACGAATTAAAGCTTGCCACTTATTGAAAAAGGAGGAGAAAGAAGAAAATAGCCTGGCTAGCTCTTTCTATCAGCTCCTAACTCAATCTAGTTGATTGAGTGCGAAGAGCCAAAAATACTAATCATGTGTGAGCTATTGTACTTCATATTCACATTAATGATATTAAGCCATATCTCGGAACAAGGTGGACACGGTTCCACGACATAACAATTGCCCGAGCTCTAGCCCTTGGGGTAGGCCTCATAGTGAGCCCAAAGTGGTTTGGCACAAGGCTGGGGTCGGGTCGTCATGATGCTTCAACTAGGGCAGGTTGGCACGGCATAGTCAGTTGGAAACTTATAACTGCCTGCCCTTAGCGAATGGTGTCCAGGTCGCATGGATGATTACTCGGGCGTACCTTGTATAAATAGCGTCCATTGTATTTGTCTTGTTTAGACATATCATGTATTAGTAAAACATGATGGTAGGGAATATCCCGATCGACATGCCTCCGTGTTTTATTCTTATTTGTGCAGGTTACAGGTCGAATTTTCTTAGAGAACCCGGTCGGTCCCCAATCGGGCATCACCCGACCGACGTCTTCGGTTCCCGATCGGTAGCCTGTAGGTGAGAGAGCCGATAAGAGACACGTGGCAGCATTATGCGCTGACAGGCAGGGCTCCCGTGAGGAGGACACGTGGTTGCTACGTGGGTGACATGCCGGACGGCCGGACTTGTGTCTCCGGCCTAACGGCTAAAAATACCCACGGCGGCAACAATGTGGGAGACTTTTGGACGATCGATAGGCTATTGTCAGAGCATCCCGACCGCAATCAGTCGGCCCTCGAAATAGCCATTGTAGATTGTATTTAGGTCTTTCACCCGATCAATAAAAGATTTACTTGCTTTGATTGGACTTGTGCTATTTATTTACCGCTTACGTGGGAATTAACACTATCATTTTGGCACCGTCCGTGGGAACCCGTGCACGAAAGCTAACGTTTGACGAGCACCCGTCTTTTCTTACACAATGTATCCATTTGCATACAACCTTTTCGGCGATGATCAAGCGGATGCGGCGAGCTCATCCGATCACCAGCCTACTCAATACCAAAGTCAGACTGTTGATCTCAACCTCAACCTCTCACCGCCTCATCCGGCATCACAACACCCGGTTGCCCAGCAACCGGTCAACTATATTCAACCGGGATTTTCACCGCCCGGTCAACAGTTCCAGTACCCCGGGCAGTATCCTTACCCGGTCCCACCTCCACAGTATGGATATTGGCCCGGCCAGCCCATGTATTAAACACCACCGACCGGCTACGCCCCATACACGCCTGCGTACACGGCTCCAGCCCCCGCTCCTCCGATTTACCCGACTGTCTCGACCGAGTCGGAGCTTCAGCTTACTTCCCGGGCTAGGCGCTCGACTCGTTCGAGGTTGAGGTCACAGGGTGCCACGGCCATGGAGGTACCACGGTAAGCTCAGCAGGTACAGCCGGAGGCGCAGGCCTAAGCCGAGGACCCTGAAGAAATCAACCGGGCAGTAGCGTTCGAGCGGCTCCGTCCAGCAATGCGGCAACGATTGGGACCACAGGACCCGAGCCGACGCTCAGTAGATGTACCGATGCAAGAGGCCAGCCAGGAGGCTTCATCTGGGCATAGTGGGTCAAGATCGCATCGTCGACGACGCGCCCGGGAAACGACCCAGGCCCAGACGACCGAGCTTAATGAGACCCGAGGACTGCTCCACGACCTCCAGGCAGAATTCGCTCGGTTTCGAAACGAGCACGCAGTGGGGCTCCCGGTCGATCAATCAGCCTCGTTATTGAGGACACCCTTCACGGCGGAGATAATGGCCCAGCCATACCCGCTCGACCTGTAAGTCCCAGGCAACAAAGGTTATGATGGGCGTACGGACCCTGAGGTCCATGTCAACACCTACTACGGCAATATGATGATGATGGGCGTGTCAGACGCCGTGATGTGTAGGGCTTTCTACTCCACGCTTGCCGGACAGGCGGCGGAATGGTTTCGTACGTTGCTGCCGGGATCCATCTCTGATTTTGCAACCCTGGCGATGAAGTTTATGCGGAAGTTTGTTATTTCCAAAGTTGTGAGAAAGCCCTACATGTATTTTGAGAAGACCAAGCAATTGGAAGGGGAGAGCTTGACCAATTTTCTGGTCAAGTGGAAAGCCGCGGTCGGGGAGGTTGAACCGATGGATGATGCAACCGCTACTCATATGCTCCATATTTCCCTCCGGGCCGGCTATCTCTATCAGGATTTTATCCTCCACCCCCCCGAGCACATATGAAGAGGCCCTCCGAAGGGTGACGGATGACGCTAACGCCGGTGAAGCGAATGCCGTCAAAAGATCGCAGGAGGTCGGGACTTCATCCCGTAAGCCAACCGGTCGGGCGGAAAATCAATCGGGTGATGATCATCCCTGACCTTGTACCCGACCTGGCGAGTTTACAGCTTTGAACCGATCCGCGGCAGAAGCCATGCAGTACGCACAGTCCTGCAATCTCATCTGACTCCCTCATCCCGGATAAGATGGACCGGACAAGTCTAAGCATTACGCTTACCATCGGTGTGCCGGGCATGACACAGAAGAGTGCACGCACTTACGCCAGTTCTTGGAGGATTTGCTGAGTATTGGAAAGCTGGACAAGTGTGTGGGGAAGAGAGAAGAAACAAAGAAGGTTACTGATCGGAGAGATCATAAATGCTCTCATCACCGCTCTGATCGTACTGAACGTTCCGATCAGTCGGGTCATGACCACAGAGATGACCGCCGGGACCCCGACTCTCCATCCAGCAGTCGACCGGCAGGCAAGCCGACCATCCACGTGATATTCGGTGGATTGGATGATGCTTCCCGACCGAGAGAAAACTGCCTGGTCGCGATCGTAGACTCCCGTGATACCGGGAAAAGGTAAAAGATGGAGCTCATAACCTTCACCTTAGAGGATCAGCCCAACAGTGGTGACCACGGGTTGGAAGCCCTCGTGGTCACGATCGACGTGAACGGGACCGATGTCCAAAGAGTTATGGTGGACACGGGGAGCAGTGTTAACGTCCTTTATTTGGACGTGTTTGAAAAACTTCATCTGGACAAAAGTGAGCTGATTCCGGTCGGTGTACCATTGTCTGGATTCACCAGGGCCCTCATTCGCCCCGAAGGAAAAATTACACTCCCGGTCGAGATAGGCACCCCGCCCAAGTCTGTCAAGACCGAGTTAGAGTTTGTTGTGGTGAACTTGCATTGTGTCCACAACATCATTTTGGGCCAACCAGCAATAATGAAGATCGGTGGGATAATTTTCATGCTCCACCTATGCATGAAATTTCCCACCCCCAATGGGGTCGGTGTAGTTCGCGGTGATGTTCAATCCGCGCGGAAGTGTTACACTCGGGCCGTTAACAAATGTGATACTGGCACGTCGTCCCAGGTGAACACGTTCGTTAAAGAAGCTATCAGTGACCGGAAGGAGCAACCCGAGCCTTCCGAGGAAATTGAGGAAGTTTCCCTGTCCGAGGACCGACCGGACAGGAAGATTAAAATTGGTCGGGCCCTTACCCCCGAGCTACGATCAGAAGTGTTAGCAATTCTTCATGAATTTTCTAATATCTTTGCATGGGGGCCCGAGGACATGCCCGGGATCGACCGTACATTCATTTGTCACAAGCTCGCCGTAGATCTTGCGGCCAAGCTGGTCGTTCAGAAGACGCGGCATTTATCTTCCGATCGCCGTAAGTTCGTCAGAGAAGAGGTCAAGAAAATGGCGGCGATTGAGCACATCCGACCGGTGATTTATCCCGAGTGGGTGGCAAATATTGTTCTTGTTCCTAAGCCCCCAGCTTGGTGGATGTGCATAGACTTTACCGACCTGAACAATGCCTGTCCGCTCGACCCATATCCGCTCCCGAGCATCCATCAAATGGTTGACGAGATGGCCGGGACCGAGTTAATGAGCTTCATGGATGCTTTCAAGGGGTATCCTCAAATAATGATGCACCATGAAGACGAGAGCAAAACAACATTCGTAACTCCGGACGGGCTGTATTGCTACCGAGTGATGCCGTTCGGCCTTCGCAATGCGGGAGCGACCTATCAGAGAATGGTCAACATGCTCTTCGCTGATCTACTAGGCCGAACGATGG